TTAGAGAAGTCTGAATTGTGAGATAAGGTTAATGCATCAAAAACTTGTACATCATGCTTTATGAATTGCAATTAAGAGTTTTTTAAATTTGTTGCATAAAACCATTGTAACTTATGCTTAGTAACTTGTATTTAAGACTTTGTCTTAAATGGTTATATATGTAGTATAGATAGATAAATACGTACATATATATACGTATATATATACGCATATATATATATACGTGTATGTATTTATGTCCACTTATTGAAAGAAATAGCTGCAAACCCATCGTCTTCTCAAACAATGCCTACCAGGATGAAGGCTTCGATTGAAAAAGCCGAAGCGGAGATTAAGAAGATCACCGATGATTGGTGGGCTAACAGGGAGAGACAAAATAAACACGAAGAAGCGATTAAAGAAAAGAAAAAAGCTATCAAGCAATTGCAAAAAGAGATTCGAGCTGAGGAAAAAAATTGTGAAGGACATCGCAGATGGGTACCCCGTGATGCAAGAAATGATTAATGAAAAACAATACTGGATTGAATCTTGCAAACAACTTTACCCAAAAGGAAACTAACAAGAATGTTATGTACTAATGTTTTTGTTGTCGTTGATGTTTTTTATTTTAATGTTACGTCTGAATGTTGTTGTTTCAGTTGATTCGTCTATGTATTGATGGTTAATGTTCATGTACTTCTAAATCAAACTGCCATTTCCTATTAAAACAACAAGGCTACACTTTAAAATCGTACATTTACTTACTTAAATCGTAAGTATCAAATACATAGTCTTGTGTAGTAACCGGTTCAGACGGACCACAATCGCTTGGACGACTAACTGATCTTCGACGACTACTTGAACTTCCGTGAGTCGGCCTAGGAGCTGGCATCGGACTCGGACAATTATATCGAAACTATCCACTCTGGCCGCATCGACTGCAAGTTTTCACTATTCTTTCCTCATCTCGTGACGGGATACGATCGCGGTTACGTTGCCTGCTTTAGTTTTGTATGTCCAAGGGAGGCGGTAGGACGTTCATATGTTCGTTGGGCAACACATATTCAGCTTCTGGTGGAAGGGGAATGACTTCCTCCTCGTATGTTGCACGATAAGAGTCGGAATTGAACCAAACAGAACAGAATTGATTGTAGTCTTGAATATCTAAACTTTGAGCAATAGATATCACATGACCACAAGCTATTCCAGAAAGTTGTCATTCCATGCATGTACAAGTCTTAGCATGCAAATCACACGTTCCATTCTTATACCTGTCGTCAACTTCAAACAACAAATCGCTGATGGAATATACCTTCCAATTTGCGCTCCAATGTATTCTCTTTTCTAATTTGGCCTCCGCCCAAGGAGTCACTGCGTTCATCATTTTCTTTGCAAATACTTGATATCATTAGCATATGTTACATAATCAAACATATAGTGAAAGGATGGTTGAATTTACCTCCGTTATGCCAACGTATGAAATACCATTGTTGCAATGTCGCCCGATAAAATTCAACTAACATTGTTATTGGAAGATAGCATGCAAACCTCGTTACTGAGTTGACGGACTCAACACTATTGGAAGTCATTGCACTGTAATGCAATCCAGGAAAGTGCGATCATGCCTATCGAGCGTAGCCAACTTCCTCAAGATATTGAGCGGCTCTAGGTAGACTATGCCGCATCAAATCCATAGTAGCTTCAAAGTCCGACAACCAGTAAGCTTTGCATGCCTCCCAGAACATCCACCGTTTTCTTTTATCTTTAGTGGAGGTTAGGCGGAGGTTCTGGCTTAAGATGCCGACAACAAAGTCCGTGGTGCGCGTTAGGAAATACAATTCGTATGGCCAGGTCGATAGAGGCAGCCCTATCGGTTACGAAGGTTAAATTGGGCACATCACCGATACACTGCCTCAACTTATGTAAAAACCATGTCCATGACAGGCCACTTTTTGTCTTCCCCACTCCCATTGCAATGGGTACGATCCCATTGTTTCCATCCATGCCAACCGCTAAGAACATGGTGCCAACGTATGGCCCCTTCAGATAGGCACCGTCCATTAAAAGAAGCGGTCTCATGTGTCCTAGAAACGATCAAATCTGTAGATGAACGAGATTAAATATCTAAACTTTAGAACATAAAATTATGACAATAATTAAAAAATATGACAAAAATTATTACCGAACAACCGAGTGCGACAAACAACATGTCGAATCGTCCAAGTCCATCAACAGCGATCTTTGTCACAGTCCTCGGATTTGCTAGCTTCAAATTGTGACAATAAACCAGGAGTAGGTTAAACGACGATTCAGGGGTCCCCCTCAACAGTTGCAAGGCATACATATTTGCTCGCTATGCTTGGTTGTAGAAGATGCTAATATTGAACCGTTGGTTCACATCTTCCATGATTTTTTTTCCATGGTACACTCTCCTACAATCCTTTAAACTTCCTGCCAATATATGACCCAAAACCTTTTTATTCGCATTACGGTGGTTTGGGTGCACTTGTGACCTTGAACATGTGTGTTTATCGTGGAGCTTCCGTACCTGAAACATACTGGTACCATCGACGGAGACAGCCATTAAACGCCAATCACAGTCCGAATCTGAGTGACACACCGCCTCGTACCGGTGTTTGGATGATTTCTTTACCTTCATCTGAAAGTTTTCATGGACACACTTTAATCACACTGCGAGCTTCAGTGCTTCCTTCGAGTCAAAGGTTTGGAGAACTTTGACAAAGAATGTAGGCTGATAGGAAATGTTTCCCTATCTACTTTTGATAACTGGGTCTGGACAAGGTGTTGGGTCGTGCATACCCCAAAAACTATTCTTTACCGGCTGGATTTCTTCATCGTCGGAGTTATTGTYGTCTTCGGTATGTTCAAAGTTTCGACAACAACAGAAACATTTTCGGCCATATCTACCTCCCACAATGGTTTTGACTGTTCGGGAGATTGGATCGGGTACGGGTTGGGAGATTGGATCGGGTACGGGTTGGGAGACTACATCGGAGGCATGTTCAAATCTTGAACAAAATAACTGTCAGGTTGAACGGTAACTTTTAGTTCAAAATATGAATTTCCAGCGGCATCATAAGGGAAGAAGGTGCTTGGATTTTCACCACTTCCACCACTAGGGAAGAAAGTGCTCTGATTTACACTAGGAGCACAACCGGTAGGGAAGAGTGTGTTTGGACCATATGGGTTTTCACTGCTAACGTCGGGGAAGAGTGTACTTGGATTTTCACAGCATACAGCAATGAGGTAAGAAGTGTTTGGACCGCCTGGGTTTGCACTTGATGGATTTCCTCCATAACCTCCATCGTTGACCACAAATAGTGTCAACATTTCTTGTAAACTTTCACGAATGGGATTATGGAAGATTACAAACATCATCGTCGTCCATGAACTGATATAACGTATCGTTTTATAAAAAAAATTGAAAGGACCACGTAAACTTAACTTTTTCTTCACACGTTTGACGACTCCTGAATACGTTATTCGCGAAGACAAACGTATTGCACATGTGGGGAAGCTTAGCGGAAGGTACTCTAACACACCATTTATCTCTTGGAATAAACCGCCACTTCGAAGATACGCAAAAACATCATCACTTTGACGTGATTTCATGTTTTGTGATGGTTGATTGTATTTAATAGGTTAAAGATTGTGATAATTTATTGTGTTGAAGGGTTAAGGGTTGTGAGAGTATAATATATGAGAAGAGAAATGAAAGAGGTGTAAAAAAATTATGAAGTAGGAGGTTGGTATTTATAGTGAAATTTGTTGCACTAAAAGACAAAATAAGATTTCTTATAAGATAAGAAAAATATGTCTGATTTATGCGTTTAAAAAAATCTTCACGTAAAATCGTATTTTTATAAGGTTTACTGGTTGTGAGAGTACAAATTATTTTATTTTATTTAATAAAAACATGAAAAAGAGGTTAAAAAAACAATTCAAATATCGTCTCATTTTTTTCTAAAAACACCCCTTAATTAAAAATAGCGGTTAATAGATATTACAAAAAAATAAATAAATAAAAGTCTAGGCTGGATCGCCCCTGGGGGGCGATAGGGACGTGGATCTCCCCCCTACATGCTGGATCGCCCCTAGGGGCAATTTGGGTGTCCATTTTCGCAACAATGCTTAAAATTGGTTATTTTCTTAATGTGTATGATATAAAGTGATTGGAATGGTGATTTTCCCTTTTTTTTAATTATTTTTTTGTACTTTTTTGGTCAAAAATAAGGTGATCACCCTCATGGTTATGGATAGCCCCACATGGGCTATTCATGTGTACATTTTTGCCATTTAATGAAAAAATGGTTATTTCGTTAATATATCAGATATATTTTGATCATTTTGATGATTTTCTCTAATATATAATGTGCATAGATGTATACATAAAATATGTATATATATATATATAT